ACGGCTTAAAATCGAGTAATACTATAATAATAGTATAACAGTAACACTCGATATATGTATTGTTTAATAAATCTTATTAACCTTAGTGTGGAAAATATGATTTTCAGTTTAATGAAATCATTGTCTGGTTATGGTAGGCAATAGACACAAGAAATAAAATTTAAAATTTAGGATTAAACTAGAGATGATGTATTATGTAGTAACAGTACTTAAACGTACATCAACTACATCATAAAATTTACGATGATTATAAATTATTATAGGAAACTAATTACTGATTACTATATTATATAATAAACCTATATAGAAATAGACATATTATTCATTTTTTTATGAAACTAAATTAAACAATATTATAATATAAAATTTTAGATTGGAAATTAAGCTCATTACAATATTATAGAATATAAGTAGCATAGTAAAACAAGTTAAATAGGTACTTATATCAAGTCTATCATTTGAAAACTATAAGTTAATATAAAATATTAGTTGGGTACTCGTAATTATATAGTAGAATACCAGCTATAACCCAATAACTTGATATCTTTATTTTAAAAATAACTTTGTTTTTAATAAAATGATCAAAAAAGTAAAAACAAGCAACTTTAAGGCTATAATATTAAATTAGAAGTAAAATAATGTATGAAATGTATGAAGAACAAATTAGTACTTCAATACATTTTTAAATTACCTAACACATTTATAAACAAAATGACTAGGTATCAGGGACGGTGCTAGATTTTTTCTAAGGATGCGAAGTAGGAGTAGGTAAATTTTGTAAATGGACTGGGTTTTGAGTAATAGTATTATAGATTACTATAAGTTATCATATTTTATCATCAATAAATCTAATTTAGATTAATAAATTTACATATATTAAACTATATATTATTTATTACTCTATGACTTGAATATACTAAAATATATTTTTTCTAAGGGGGGGGGGCTGGAGATGAGGCTTCCATTTATTTTGAGGGGGCTGGGAGCACTATCTCGCCCACCCCTAACGCCGTCTTTGATAGGTTTATTGGACAATTATTAATGTTGAAGTTTTACGTTGTATAAATTAATATAAAGTAATAAATAATGATAAGGTTTTAATACAATTTATTTTATCAATGTTTTTAATTTAATTTCGAAGTAAATAGTAATAGAATAGATTATAACATAAAAATCAATAATTATTTTTTAATAGGTACAAGATATTCTATGACCTACATTTTAAGATTTATTTTTGAGTCATTGTCCATTGATGGTTAGTTTTCATGTGATAGTTCAATGAAACAAAATACTTGATTATATGGCAAGTAGTTGTTTTATGCAATTATCTTTATATAAACAACTTTTTTTTGTGGACTAATAAGGTTAACAATCTAGTACATAATTGTTTAATTCAAAGTGTTTTAGTAAAACATATAATAGTTCATTTTGATTTAATACTTTATATTTTTGATTCTCATATACTTGAAATATTGACAAAAAAAAAAAAAAAAAAAAATGAGATCAAATTTTTTTCTAATTATTAGTTATAATTAAATATTTAATACGTCATTTTTAATAAGGTTCTTAAAAATTAAAAAATGAATGCTATTCAAAGATTTTCTTGAATCGTGAACAACAGCTTGTTGACTATATAAAGTTATAAATAGTAAAATATTTTAGCGCACAAATTAATACCAATAAATTGCATATTTTGAAGCTTTTTAAATTTATTTTAGTTACGATAATAAGAATAAATATCTTTGTTTTATGTATGTTTATTTCTGTTTTTAATTGTATTCAAAATAACTAATAAAATATAAAAATACCATTATTTTTCAAAAATGAAATTTAAGGTTATTAATAATTTAAATTATACTAGATACTACATATTTTGTAATAATTAGTGTACACTATTTTAAGCCTCGGCCTCCGAGCTACAATAGGTGCCTAAGATATTAAAAAAATTTAATGATTTTTGTCATTCATTTAGTAGTAAAATTATATAATTAATAATGCACTGTATTAAGAGAACGATATACCACTAATTTTTGCGGCAGAACACGTCCAAAAAACAAACGAAACGGCATAAAAAATTGATTGTACTGTAAAAAATGTTTCTTAACCTTTATATTATGTAACACACAATGAAAAAAAGGTTAATGGACAATATTTAATTTAAACTAGTAATATAAACTTAAAACAAAAAGGAAAAAATATACCATAAATATTAATTAATGTCGTTAACAGAGAACTTATTTTAATCATCATATAGAAATTGTATCAAATAAAATTATTAATTTTCGTAAATCATGATAAAAACGTTTGTATATTTTATGTCATTTAATAAATTTTAGGAAAAATCTTGCTTATACGGTGGATAACACTATTGTATAGTAAAAAATAAAAATACTTAATACAATTTATATTTATGTACTATGGTCTATGATAAATGAAAGACAATGTCATCGGCATTTATTGGAACGTTAGGTAATTATTAAAAAAGTGACAGTTATTAATTGTAAAAAATAGTTGTTGTGGTTTTTATAATGAGGTTAGGTTAGGGTTGTATATTTAGTATAGTACAGAACCCTTTAACTTAAATATTGCGAGCATACGGTTCGCAAAAATGCTTGATAGCATATTTCTATTAAATAATAAAGTAAAAAAAAAAAAATGTATATATAAAAAAGTCATTGAAAATTACTTCATATAATAATAATTAGTTTGAAAATATTTAGAATGTTTTATCAAATACAAATTTAAAAAAGTTATTTATCTATTTTAAAAAGAAAAAAAATTATTCAATTGTAAAAGATCTCTTTTTTATATTTTAATTTATTTGCTTTATAAAATTAGAAATATCTTATTTGCCGTTAGCAAAACTTTGACTTACAATTTTTAATCGAACTTCCATCTTTTGTTTTTTTTCAATTAATATCTCCTATTTCAGTCAATTTCATCTTTGTTCTGTCTGTTTCAATTTCTTCGCGCATTTTTTGTTAGCAATTACAATTTCATCATTTCATGACTCTCATTGAAATCTTATAAGCAACATGACAATAACTGTGTTCGAATCATACAATTTTTGTATAGTTTAAATCTTTAATCAATATTATAGTCTATTTCATTAATGACTTTTTAAATCAAATGGTATTTTAGCATTTCTTATATATAGTATATGTATAGCCATGTAGTGCAATTTTATCACTTTCTTTAGTTGGTTTAAGAATGGCCATTATTAAACACTAGTATACAGCTCGAAACAAACTGAATTATAATCGGTAAGTATATTGAATATTGCTAGTTAATCAGCGACCAGCGTGCATCAAATTATATAACTCTTATTATAAGTAATTTGTCATTAACAAGATTTGTAAACCTAATTTATTTTATAAATAAAATAACATCTTAATATTTTTCCTTACATCTCAAGCAAGACATGATATGATATTGGTTTGTGAATTTAGGAAATAAAACAAAAATTATTTTTACTTTTTGAATTTAGTTTTTATGAAATGATGAATTTATATTTTAACTACATATAGAAAAATGTTCCGTATGTATTTTCTATTTAGAGAAAAGAAAGCAATATTAAATAAAATAGTTAGGTAGGTACTAAGATAACTACTTTAATTTATCACGGCACTAATAAAGTAAAAGAAAATAAGAATATTTTATTCAATTCGACAGTTTCAATAAATCTTTAATAATACGGTAATAGAATTACAGTATAGTGCAGTGGTGCCCAACCCGCGGGCCGCGAATTTTCTAAAATAAAAAATTATTTATTTTCATGTATTATTTTTATTTAAATTTATGAATTTGTTTAAATAATTACTCCAAAAAATACAATTATAATAATAATAATAAAACTAAAAACTATATAAAATGTTTTACTCTTATTTTTAATGTGAAATTTGAGCTTATACTTCTTTTACTAATAATGAAAAATCTGGTTGAAATTTAGTGGTTCCAATTCTCAAAATTGAATGAAGGTGTTCATCCGTAAGTCACGATCTATGAACCGATTTTTTTGTTTCGTGAAAATATTTTTCGCATTTATACGTTGAGCCAAATACAGTAGCCATTTTCATTATAGTCTCTTAAAACAGGGAAATCTTCATGTGGAAGTTTTGAATAAAATTTTAAAATATCGTTTTGTTTCATTTTTTGAAATTCAATACAGTAAAATCATCATTATATTTGCGTTTTTTTGTTTGACATTTTCATTCGGAAACTTTACAATTAAATATCGATATCATCCGTGTACTTAAAATAACATACTGATCACACTAATGTGTACTTACGATGTGTACCTCAATTCATTATCTTTTCAATAGACAATAAAAGATAAGAAAACAAGTCCAATATATAATATTATTTTTGTACTTTTATACTTTGTGGCTCGCCAAAGGAAAAAGGTTGGGCATCACTGGTTAGTGGATACAGAGATATAAATACATATATCTTATAGTTGTATTATAGAATGAGATCTGTAGTTTTACTTCTAGTCAGGCTAATAGAATTTTTTCCTTTTTATAAGTATATATTGATATTAAAATGTCATCAATAATATGTTGTTACACCATGGTCCATGAGTCATGACCATGAAATCACTCAATAACAGGTTATGACCTATTGAAATAATGGTAGATTGGTAGACGAGTATGAACACGTATGGTATAAGAAAGTATTATTAGTTTCGTGAGATGAAGCAGGGGATAAAAGCGATAAATATAGCTCTTCACGGCATAAATACTATACATTATGACCATTATGTTGTAATAAAATGTATACTTACATAACACGGATTCTTGAAACTATTGATTAATACTCAAGTAATATTCGTTTTTTAGACATTGTAATAAAATATAATTAGCACCTTTGGATTGAACTTAGGATTATTTTTATTCGTCTAAAATTGTAGGTATACTATAAATATATTTATTAGATAAAAAATAAATGAAAAAATTAATCATATAATTATTATTTATAGATATTAATAAGTGGTACAAAATGATAAAAAAAAAGTTATTCTGAAGATTCTTTTTTTTCAACAGAATCTAAACTATTCGCCGAGCTTGAAATGTATAATTTTTGCAAATATAAAATAAATGAAATTATTAATTACGTAACTAATATTTAAACATTAATATTAATACTCGGCACAAAAAAAAAAATAAAATAAAATATTATTCTGAAAATTTTTTGTCATCAGAATCTAAACTATTCACCAAGCTTGAAATTTATATATTTTGCAAATATAAAATAAATTATATTATTAATAGAAATTAACATTAATACGTAGCTCAAAATGATAAAAGTAAAGTATTATTCCGGAGATTCTTCTTCGTCGTCATCAGAATCTAAACTATTCTCAGAGTTTGAAATTTGTAATTTTTGCAATTTAGATACAATACTATTACTGGTTTGCGCACGTTCTAAAATGGCCACGTCTTCATTAACGCTCTTTGCGGCCACTTCTAATACTTCTAAATCAAATCCCACTTGCTTTTTGACGATTTTAGTTTTATCAAAGAGTTTGACGATGGTCTCAAAATGTTTACTCTTCAATTGTTGAATCCAAATACAATAGTCTTTAATATACAGTTGGTTCAATACATATCTGGGTTCGCTAGAGTTAAATAACTCATGAATATCCAACAAACACGTGAGTAAACAAACACATCCGTTTTCAAATACTTTACGTACATCAGAGAGTACTAAAACGCTTAAATCCCATCGTCTGTATAAAGGATAACACACACTTCGTCTGATGCACGCTTTAACGGCTTCATCAAACGTTTCAAAAATACGAAACCAAGAAAGTGTAGACGATAGTTTGTTAATTAACCAAGGAGATTCAGAATTTTCTTCACCCAAATTTGTTCGAATACAAAAACAATATGCATATATGATATCTACCAATGAGAGTAAAGCTGATTTTTTATCATCTTTGCTCAACAAGTATTCTTTATTACCCAATGATTTTAAAATATTTTTTTGAGAATCATTTAAGGTACATGTTGTGTTATACCAAAATGGTTTAAAGTTTAATACATCTTTGAGTCCATCTGGTTCTGTCATCAAATCTGCCAAGTAATGATCATCACAAAAATCTAAAAATTCTGTTCCAGCTTGTGACGATTTTCTTTGTTCATAGTTCATATTGTCAAGATTACTTATCTCAATAATTTCAAAAAATTCACGATTAAAATGGTTAAATCCATCTTGAGTTTGATTGCCAAATCCATATTTTAAACAAACATCATTTTTAACTAATATAGGTTTTTGTAAAAAGTTACAATCTATATTGTCATCACCATCAACATCATCATCATCATCATCATCACCATCACCATTATTTTCATCATGTTTATTTTCATTAAGAACTTCAATAGATGGCTTGATTGTTCGAGGAGTTTTTTTTGGTGTAAGAAATTTATTTATAAGATTCAAATCTGGGAAGTGCTCTCCTGGATTTACTTTATTTAATGTAATAGTAAAAATAGATAAATCCCAATCATAAAACCCAGATGAAGAATCAGTTTCAGCCACTTCGCCAGGTAGATGAAGACGTAAATAATATGGGGAAGAATAAAATGTGACTTGATTACCATTAACATCAATTTCTGTATCGTTGAGATTAGCAAATCTAGCTTTGATTTTTATGATTAAATAATCATCGGTTTGTTTCAATTCAAAATTTGGCGTTAACATTGTAAAAGCTGAAAAGTAAATAATAGTTATTTTTATTTTAAAAATTATTTATTAATATTATATAACTATAAACTATAATAAATTAATTGTAGAAAATATTTAATTTATTTTCTGAGTATATTAATATGAGTTATACTTGATATTCACTTAGAAATTGCAAATTGATTTTGTTTTTTAAACCATAATATTAATCAAATTAACTAGATATTAAAAACACATACTTTTTATTATAAAATTCACATTTAAAAATGAAATATAATATATACAAATTATTAATTCTAGTAAAAATGATATTTTTGTTGAAAATGTTTAGCTTTTGTTACTTAAAATACCCATTATTATTAGTTTACATAATAAACTGTTATAAGAGTTAGTTCAATCAGTGGTATAATATTTTGTGTTATAATAGTTGTAATATTTTCATTTTTTAATACATTATGACAACAAAGACTAAAAAAAACTTTGATTTTATTCCATTGATTTAATATGAGAATAATTTTTTTTTCTTTTACATAGTTCTTTTAATGTTTGAATATAAGGTAAATCAAATTATATTTTTATTGTAGATATCTAGTAGTTTCTTAAAAAATAATTACTATAAATTAATATTATATTTACATTTTAATATCAAATTAATATCTAAGATATATTTGAATATCTAATCGTATCCAATAAAAATTTGAATAATAATAATAATAATAAAAAAAAAATAGTACTTAAAATATTTGGCTAATATTTTCTTTATATTCATATTATACAGTTTAAAAACACTATATAAATCTATTATATCTATCACTTCAGTGATCCACCTAAATTTATATACTATTTTGTGGTATTGTTCTTTAATTAATTTAAAAATAAACATAAAACAAAGTTTATTGTTATGATAAAGAATTAAATTGATAAGTAGCAATAAAATGTTCAATTTTTATAGTAATTTATTAGATACAATAATAGGTTACTTAAAGTAATCATGACAACTATAGTATAACCATAAATTTAATTTAATTTTTAGGATACTAAATTAGATAATGAAATAATTTTAATTTATATTATTTAAAATTTGTAATCTTCAAACTTCACAACATGTGTGTAATAGGTATTAGATAAATATTTTTAAGAATACTAAACAAACTGTTAAAATCTTTTATACAATGGCATAATCAAAGTAGTAATTATGGTAACATTATTCCAAATAAACAAATTTATAAGTATAAATATCATAATTTATAAGTATTCTGGATATTTATGAAAATAATTAATATAATTTAAGAATTAAAATAATTAGTTTTTTATCCCACAGAATTTTAAGAATTTTATTGAGTAGTTGAACATTTTAAATTACATAATATCAATGGTTTAAAGCTAAGATAAAGTTTTTTTAAATAACTATATAGTTCAATGCTAGAGTCAAATACATAATAAATAAGTGCTATAGGTAAACAAAGATAATATAGTAATGTATCAATTTTATTAGCAAAGCTATTTTATTGATTAGAGGACATCCATAAATAAGATTTATTTAGATTAAAAAAAAAAGTATGTCAAAAATTATACTTTTACCTCATTGTTGGAAAACATTTTTTTAATAGTATATAATATTTTAATACATATTAATAAATGTAGATATCTTATATTATATCAATTCAATTTAAACTACTATTTGTAAGGAAAACATTAAGACAGCGTTTTATAAACTGTGTTCCGCAAAGATTAAGTCATTTTTTTAAATTATTATTTAAAAAAAATTTTTATTTTGTTTAAAAATTATTATTATTTTTTTTTTTAAATTTTTAAGAAAATTACTTTAAAATATCTAATTAAAGATTAATAGTGGTTAGTGGGAAAAAAATTTTTGTACAACTTTCATCAATAAAGCCTAATATTAAGAATATTTGTAATAATAAAAAGTAATTTCACTTATCTCATTAAAATGATAATTTAGTTTAATTAAAGTAATTTATGTATTATTACATATTATATACAATTATTATTATTTTATTTATACATATTTTTTGAATTAAATACCTTTAACACATTGTTAATATATGAAAAATTTTTAATTTTTATTGAAAATAATCCTAAAAAAGCTAAAAAAAATAGGGGTTCCATGGTAAAAGTAAACATCAAAAACAGTTCCATAAATAAAAAAAATTTAAGAAATGCTATTTTATGGCCTAATTATGGTAAGGGTGTGGCTTAACTGCAGAGTAGTTATATGGATGGTATATTAGGTAAGGAGAAGGTTACAAATGAACAAAAATTAGGCTGATATATCCTTATTTTAAAAACAGAATAAGTATTTTAATTATTATAAGTATGATTAGGTTTTATTAAATTTAACTTGTTAAAATTTTTGAATTATATTTGATGAAAATAAGCAAAGAAACAAAGGCAAATTCTTATAAGTTATTCAATACATTTCTGTACTTATAATAGGAGCCGATAATGGTACCTCCCCTCCAAATGAAATAAAAAATAAGATATAATAACATAATCATGGGCGTAGGGTGGTAAGATTTGGGGAGGAGAGGCTGTAACCTTCCTAAGAATAGATATGTACAAACTCGTGGAGAGCTTTGTCTGCATTTTGGAGGGGGCTATTTTCCAAACTGGGGGCTAAGCCCCAAGCTTCCCTAACTACGCCTATAAATATAATTACAAATTATTGAAACCAAACATAAATATTGTACTCATAAAATTTAATGTAATTTCAAACAATTATAATGGTTGTATCACAAAGAAACTGTTTTATGAAGAAATGTGAATATAGGGGTTCTGAAGTCATTAATCGCCAATGATATATTACTTTTTAATATATGCGCCTCCCTCCCTGGAAAATGTCTGGACCCGCCCATACTTATTATATATTAAGATTTTTACCAATGCATATACAATACAATAATTCAATAACACTAACATTTAAAGTAATATGAAAAATAAATTAGAATTAGGATATATTCAATAATTGTATCATTGTAAAATTATAATATACCTATAAGTATAAATACAAGTTATAATACCCACATGATCATTAAAATAATTTAAACAACAAATTATTAATTACAATTTTAAAATATATAAACCAGTGATTTAATTATTTAATTGTTATTTCTTAAATTTTATACTAAAAACTACATAACAGTAAGCAAGTATAACTTTCATTAAAATAGTAAGTATACACTATACAATATAATTTAATTTGTTAAAATACTTACACCTGTTATGATTTGATTGAATTAAAAGTGTATTTAATGAATAAATTGCAGTTAGTTGCAATTAAGGATTACGGAAAAATAATCAATAAGCATATATTGTGAGTTGTGAATTTTGACCACGAGTTTTACTGAGAGAATAAAGTACTAACACAAAAACTTATTATTTTTTTAATCTGTGTGTTTTTGTTTAATCTTTGATCACATGTTTTATTATCAATATATTTAGTTTGACAGAAATTTCCAAAGCGAATACAAATCATGATTTTGTAATTAAATTAAAAAATATATCAATTAATTGTTACTGCTAAATTAAATTAAAATCAATCCAAATTGAAGACTACAACTAGAATAAATTGCAAAGTTATTTATTTTTGAATAATTAACATGTTTTTATTTTCATAGGTAGTAGTAATTATTCCCACTAGGAAATTTATTTCCAAAGACGTTTTAACCATTTTTGTAGGCGTGTTGATGTTTTTTTTTTATCAATAGAACAAAATATTCTCAGCTAAGCAAAATTTGTATTTAGATCTCAATTATTTCTACTAAAAAATACAAATTTTATTTCGGTTTAAAATTTCAATCAAAAAGTTGCTTTTTCCGAAGATTTGTTATTACGAAGTGTTTAAACCAGTCTCGATGATTTACGAATGCAGGTCATGAAAGGGCTTTTTAATGTAAGTGGCTAATTTTTTCTTGGACACCCAAAACAACCGCTCAAGAAGTACTTATTGATCATATATTTGTTTCGTTTCTTCTGTATCATCACATTAATTCAATGCTTTGATTTAAAGTAATACACCTTATCATAATTGTTTGCTTTCCTATTGTTATTGTTACTTCTAATTTCTTGTATACAATTTAACTTATTGACTTGACCCAATTTTAATTTGAATTAGTAAACTTAATTTGTCATTTATGTATGTATATGATGTATAACTCAACTATGATTTTATTTGAAATATAATACTTTGATTATTTAGTTAATCAAAACAATTGAGTAAATTGTAGCCATACTTTATTATAATTACCTACCCAGCTCATTGTTTTGAAAATCAGTGTATAAAGTAAATATGTTTTAATGATTCATTTATAATTTGAAATATGTTATCTAACTGATTAAAAATTAATTTTCATTCATTTTTATTGATGTAAATGTGTAAAGTATAGTAGGTAACAAATAAAGAGTGCAAAAGCTTTCTTCAATTAACAATTTCTTATATTAGCTAGGATTGTATTTTTTCATTTAATTAAGTTTTACATTTCAGAGAAAATAACTATGTGATGAACTTATGTTTCACATTGTTACCTTGTGTCTGGTCATATGATGGGATGACGAAAAGGATTTGGCCAGACGACAGAATGGGTGCCGGGGTTTCTTCCAATGAATATTCAAATGTAGACGTTCAGAATTATCCAGGAGTTATAATAAAGTATGTATATTTTATTTCTTTTCATAATATATTTGTTCTTAGTACTTCACTTAATTTTTTTTGTACTTACATATTTAGGGAGAGACGTAAGATGCGTATGTCTGGTTTTGCTACTTTGCGAAAGAAGCTTATTAAGCGTCGTCGGTATTCCAAGGTGTGTAATCATGGCCGTGTCATAAGAGAATTAATATCTGATTGGTCACCAGCTGAAGTTACTGCTTTACTTGAAGAATATGAGGCATTAGCTGCCCTTAAAGACTTGTCTGTACAAGCAGAACTAGCAAGGCCTCCAGCTGCTACATTTAAACAAGATTTATCTACTCTATATGACCATAAGTATTGTACAGACGTTGATCTCATTTTTCGTGGTGTTTGTTTCCCAGTACATAGAGCAATACTGTCAGCTAGATGTCCATATTTTCGTGAATTGCTCTTGGGGTGTCCTGGTTATGGAGCACGTATTTGTTTAGATTTGAGAACACCTGGTGTAGATATAGAAATGTTTTCGGCATTATTACGTTTCTTATACACTGGTGATATAGCTCCAAGAGATGGAGATATAGATTTAGCATTATTGAGAAGACTTGGTGATGAGCTTGGTACACCAAATGTGTTAGAAAATGATTTAAGATACCTGTTGGAAACTGGTGACTATGCAGATGCTGCACTTGTATTTATTCCAGAAGGATATTCAGATCGAAGGCCAGAATCTACTGGATCTGAATATGGTTTCCAACCCAAGTTAGAATTGCCTTGCCATAAATCTATTCTTAGTGCTAGGTCGCCATTTTTTAGGAATCTTATTCAACGAAGGACTAAATCTGGTGAAGAACATACTGAAAGAGCTTTACACATTCCTACAAGGTTTTAACAATTTTTTTTATATTTATTAACAATTTTCTTATTATATATTATTTATTTTTAATAATATTTCAGGATAGTGTTAGATGAATCAGTTATTCCTAAACGATATGCAAGAGTACTATTACATGCAATTTATTTAGATACAGTTGATTTGTCTCTGATACTAAGAGGTTCAGGGTGTGGTTCATCTGCTGGCAGTTTAAGTGAAGTAAATATAATGCAATGTCATGTACTATTATGTATATAAACATATTTATGACCATTTGTTGTTTAAGGTTGAAGCTCTAACAAATACGGGGCGTGTTAGACCAAGTCCTCTGGATGAAGCTATGGAATTGTATCAGATTGGTCGTTTTCTAGAATTAGAAATAGTATCACAAGGTTGTGAAGATCTTATCCTAGAATGGCTAACTCTAGAGTCACTTCCAGGAGTACTTAGGTAATTCTATTTAAATATTATTAATTATTATGTTGATTTTAAACATTATTATTTAATAATATTAAAAATGATAAATAGATGGGGAAATTTGCCACACGGATCAGCATGGGTTCATCGCCAAGCTAAGCACTTTCTACGTGAAGAATTTTCTCAAGTAGCTAACAGTCCTGTTTTGTATCAACTTGACAAAGCTCATCTAATAGACTGTTTAAAGAGTAATTTCTTACAATCAAGTGAACTTGAAGTTTTACAAGCTGTTCTGAAATGGGGTGAACATGAGTTGATTAGACGTATGGAAGATAGAGGTATTATATTTCAAATTTTCAACTTAATAATTGATTTATAATTGATTTAATTGATTTTAGAACCAAATTTAGTTAGTCAAACCACACATTCTGTTAGTCGAAAAGGTGTGAAGAAACGAGATTTAAGTGATGTAGAACTTCGTGAAATATTATCTGAACTCTTACCTTTGGTGCGTATGGATCATGTTATTCCCACAGAACATGAGACTTTGACCCAAGCTATTAGAAGAGGTTTAGTGAGCTCGCCACCAAGTCATATGATTGGTAATGATTCACCAATATTATCTCATCATATGTCCAGAATCAATGCTTGGATTAGACATCCATCTGGGCTTTATGTGAGACCTAGGCTATTTATTCCATACTATGATGAAATTAAAGTAAGTTATTAAAATTAGAAAGATTTGCCTTGATGTATTGTTTATTATTAATTTTAAGGACAATAATAATGAAAGTGATTGTATCAGTAACATACTGAACATTTTTCTTATCAAATTAATAAGGAATAGAAATTAATAATTTAATATTATTTAAAAAATTGATAGGATTAAATTTAAGAATTATGGATATTTTCATATTTTAAAATGATTCATTTCTGTTATTGTAATTTAATAAATTATAAGCTTTTTTTTATTTCGGAAGTGATAACAATGATTAATTAATTTCACTAAAAATTTGAAACTTTATAAAATGTAAATTCAAACATTGTTTTTAAATTAACAAGTATAATTATTTTATATTTATATCAATACATTATACTTAATTTTTATTTGATTTAGTCATTATTTGAAGATCAAATGTTAAGAGAGGATGAAGAACTAGTAAGGCGAACAAGATATATGCCTGATGGTATACCTGATACTTTATATATGATTGAAGAAAAACCTACTTCATTATCATATGGTCTTTCATCTCTTGATGTTTTAACAGCTTCAATACCAAGTATAATAATTATATATTATTTTAAACTCCTAAGTTGTTTCTAAAATTATAAATTTGTGTATAGCACCAGATGTGTCGACCATGAATGCTATGGTTAAACGTGACCAGAAACTAAGATCTGCCCCTGGTTGTCAACGAGCAATATCACTGCCTTTATCTAGTCGACAAGAAATCAATCATCAAATAAGATTAAGAGTTGTTCGAGAGTTCAATTTACCAGACCCTGTTGCTTATCTTTTAGAAGTATTATCAATATTACAAATTAATTTTTAAATCAAACATTTTCTTATGTATTTTTAATAATTAGAAAGCTGCCAGTTCTGTATGCTATTGTGGTGGAGGTCCTGATGAGAAACCAAAAGAAAATACAAGATCTCGAAGCAGTCGCACAAGAAAAGAAAAACGAAAAGGTTTAGGAACTAGCACTTTACCATCTGTATATGCACAGCAAAAATTGAGAAAACAACCTAGACCATATGTTGTCAATGATATGGCTTCATCTTTACGATATACTAATAATATCAGAGTGAGTAAATGTGATTTATAATTTTTTTTTTTTTTATCACTTATTTTTCTAATCAATTTAATAGTATGATGATGATGAAGATTTTGATGGCCGAGGAGAACAAGTAATCATGCCTGACGTTGCAGCCGTATCACTTTCTTTGGATCAGTTAAACATATGTCCAATTCTTGGCCCTGAAGTTGAGTTAAGATTAGACTTGGGTGATAATTCACCCAATCAGTCGCCATATAAAACACCTCCTCCTCCTAAACATTTTATTTAGATTCTTCTAAATATAATTCATCTGTAAGATTTAGTTTATAACATTTATTTTTAATGTGAGCTAATAATAAGGGAGGGAGAAGTAAACAATTTCAAACTAATTGTATTATAGTATTAATTAATTTTACAGAGAAATTCAGAAATTTGCTGTTAAAATTATCTTTGATTGTAAATAGTATTAGCTATTTTACGATCAATAATATCTCATTAAGTTTCATATGTATACATTTCATTAGCTGCTGATTTTCATCTTAATCAAGCTCAAATATATCATAATAGTATTCTTTTTAAACATGAGCAGCATAGATTTCAATTGAGTGTTATTGCTACTATTATTATTATTATTATTATTATTACCATTTTTCACTAATAGTGTTTTGACTATATTGTATTTAAAAATCAGTTGACTGAAAAACTTAAGTTTCTAACTATTTCTTTTTATTTAATACTTTAATTTCTTCTCATTCGTTTTAATTCTTTAGACTTTAAAACCTTTATTGTGTTCATATGTTGCATATGTGTTTCTTCTACTTTTCTACTGAATTGTACTTCAATGTTTTTCTTCAGTTGAATGCATAGATTTATTATATTTTATTTTGTACCCATTGTTAGTGGTACAAATTCTTCTTTACTGTCGTTAATTAGTTTCTAATTGTTTTTTTTTCATGTTATATATTTTTGTTAGATGCTTTTGCAAGTCAAATGATCTTTATCCATTTCTAGTATTCTTCATCTCATTTCAATAATGACACATGTTTTAGTGTATTGTAAATATATTACTATATGTATTAAAATATGAATGCGACGCTTGTTCCGTCCGCGACTATTCTTACCAGAAGGCTAGTACACAAATTGTTTTTAAATCAATCTTATTCTCTTAAACTTTTGCACGCTCCAGAGAAAGAGTATTTAATGTAAAGTTGTTGGGAATGATGCAATAAAACTAGCACTGATATATTACATATATATTTAAATTTATAAACTAATAGCTAAACTATTTAATAATAATTATTTTTATCCATTTTTCTTTTTCTATATTGTACCTGATTGAAATTCTGAATTTTAAATATTTTTGTGTATTCAGTTTTAAAATAATATCCCAACAAGCGTCAATAACACAATGACATGTATTATATGCATTAGTTTTTAATCGATGTATTTTTTTTTATTTTTTTTTGAAAAATACGGTGGTATTAATTTGGAAAATCATTCCTGAAATTAAAGTTACAGTTATGTTTAAAGGGAATCCGAATTAAAAAAAAAAGTCGATTAAAAACCAAAATTGTGTTCTGTGACCAGGGGACATTCATCCAAAACAACTGTATATATTGTACTGTAAATTTCTAAGTCTACAAATAGTAATTTTTATTAACCTTTATCAGTTCTTTGTTCAAAAAATATGAACACCCAAACATGAATCCATTTTATTCTTTAATTGTTCTAGATAATGTGTAATATACTTGCGCTCAAAACAAAAATAAATTAACCCTTACATATAAAGAAACATGAAAAAAAAATTATTGATTTTATCTAATTATGTTTTAATGCTTAGGGACCAAACAACCCGTCTTATCAAAAAAAAAAAAAAAAAAAGTATATTTGAAATATTTAACAAAATTAAGTTAAGAGTATTAAACTAACTATACAATATTATTATACATATACCTATTAATTTTTCTGTGTATACCTTAGATATTATTTGATTTTCCTTGCCCGTCTGTGATTCTAGTCTTGTCTGTTTTCTATGAAAACTGGCTTTACAATATATTATTATTAGCTTATGATATCTATTGTTATTTTATTCCTTTACACGGTCTGTTATATATATATATATATATAAATTATATAAAAATGTATGTATTTCAAATTATGGTAGCATTTAATTTTAATCATTTTCATTATTGTGCGGCGTGTATGGAAGAAAACTATATTGTTAATAGAACCATCACTTTTTTTATTATTATTATTATTGTACTTAATTTAACTTTAAATATGGTATACATTTTCTTTTAATAATAGTTCTAAAATTATATGGATGATAATATAAAAATCTTTAGGACTAGATTAAGTTAAAATTGTGTATTATATACCGATCGAAACAACATTATCATTATCATGTACTGTACAAATCTGTTCTGTCGATATTTTGATGTTAGCTACAATAAATTTGTTTTTGTGATTAAAATTTTGTTTATCTTTTTTTATCATATTTTTCAATTCAGTACTGATGACACTAGTACTCTAAATTAGTATGAAAATTGTACATTATGTTTACTGAAATTATAAGATTTGGGAATGTTAAAAAAATACATTTTTGGCTATGTATGATTAACTCCATTGATGAGATGATCCAAATTGAGTCATTGATTAAAAAAAAACATAATACTAATTAAGTAGTGAAATACTCATTTAAAACACAAAATGTAGTATAATATATTATAAGAATATTTTGCATCTTGTCTCAACATTTCTGCAGGCAAAACATAGTTCATAAATAATATTTATAAAATTATATAATATGAAAAACTTATAGTACAAAAATATAAAAAAAAAAAATCAATTGATTTTATAGTGAATAAAAGGTTAACATTCAATTGTATAAAAAGCAAATTATACCCACATTGACATAGCACTGAAACAGTTGTGATTGAGATGGTATTTTTTATTAAAGTGATTACTTACACTGTCAAAAAAAGTTAAATTGATATTTTTTTAAAGTAAAGTTATGTACAAACTATATGCATATAATAATAAAAGCAATTTAAGATTGATATCACATACGTTAGCCAAACACCTTAAATTTAATATTGGTAACGTTTTTATTTTATTATATCATCATTTTCTAGATGTTGGAGTATATCCTCCTTGTATTCCATAACATTTTGATTGTACATCTTCTGGATTACCTCTATGAGCCTTTACTTCATTATTGTATGCCTGGATACGGTTCTTCACCGGAGATCCACCAAGTGGTGAATCCTGTTTTAGTGTTTCAACATCATTGAACACAACCTGGGCACCTCCACCCATAGTTTGTATAATATCAGCCTAATAAATTATAAATCAATTAATATAACAAGTTTTGTTGAAAACAGTTATTATTTAAGTAGATATCAAGTACTTTATAAAGTTTAGCTTCTGGAATTCCTTGGTCATCTGATCCTTGTGTCAACAAACAATATTTTGATGCACCATTATTCGATACTGTTTTGGCATCTGTTAACTTGGTAATGGATTTGCGCTTTTTTAACTTGGGTTGCATAACAGTTTGCAGAGGAATAGGCACAGGAGGTTTATGTTCAATCCAACGTTCATGTGGGTCACATGATTTAGATCGTCTTGAACGTAAATATCTTAGTGTTGCTTGTGATGGCTAAATGTTAATTAATAATTATAAAGTATTATGAGGATAATTATATATATATATATATTATTTAAAATAGTTTAGTTACCTCATTTTGTTTTGAATCTGTAGGTTTACCATTATTTACAACTGGTTCTATTTTGTTTAAGCTTTCATCAGATAGTGTTCTTTTTACAGTACGTCTGGAAAAATGGCCAGGGACATTTTCTGTACTTTCCACAATATTTTTGATGTGTCTTAATTTGCGTTTTTTATCTTGTAATTTCGCCTTTGAATCAAATATATATATTTGTAAAGCAAAAATTTAATACTTTTGAAAGTTTTTTGGAATGAGATCTATTATATTGTTGTAGTTGAGGGAGTGGAACCTAATATATTTTTTAGTATATTAACTTGTCCCAAAGGAAAAACTTTTACGCCTACAAAATAAGCATACTCTGTCCAACTAGTCAAAAATTGATTATTCTGAATGATTCCTTTAACATCAAGCCATCATGACTGGTTTCATATGGCAGCGTGTTACAGCAATGTTCAGAATAGCTGTTCTATTGTTGAACAGAAAATAGCTACATTTTGAATGAAATATAAAGATTTTTTATTGGTACATTGCAATTTGTAACAGAGATTTTAAAAGTTTTTTTTTCTAGTATTATTTAAAAAATAAGTTCATTTTAACTTGAATAGTATCAAAATTTAACTTCTAAGTGTGTTCTTATGACTGTTGAAATAGTATGATTTTACTTTTGTGCTTATTGTGTGGATGCTGTATAACCTAACTAAAAATTACCTCAAATTTTATCCTAATTAATAGTAGGCATGTATGTATTATATAACATACATTTTTTGTACAAAGATGTTTGAATAATAACAAGAAAATGGAAGACGATTTACAATTATATGTTTAAAAAACTTAATTAAACACATTATACAAACCTCAAACTCATTTTCTTGAACCTTCCATTTATCTTTGAATTCTCTAGATAACTGTTCTTGCTTTTTAACAATTTTTGTATTGTATTTTTGTTTTAATAGATCTTTATCTACTGAAACTTGATTTAGCATGTTGTCTTTTGCATTTAACTAGAAATCAAAGAGTTGGAAAAATTAACTGATGTAATCTATAAGTTAATAACATTTTAATTATAGGCATATATCTTTTTTAGTTTATATTATGGTACATATGGTAATAAATATGTTTTTAATTCAAGGCATAGTCTATGAATACGGTTTGAGTAGGTCAGAGTATGAGGATAAAATAGATTTATTTTTATTCTAGTCAATATGTTAGGTAAATTTAAATTTCTATTGCAGTATTTTATTACTTACATCTGATTTTAATCTTTTATTTTCATTATCCATAAACTCTAATTTTCTTTTTAACGAAGCTAATTCATTTTCTAATAAAAATGATTTGTTTTGATATTGCTTAACCTACATACAATATTAAACATATTATTAATGATAATTATCAATATTAATAATATATTTTATTAATAATACTTTATTGGTATCTTGGTCTCTCAAAATTTGCAATGAATTTATTTCTTGTTTAGCACCTGCATAATTGCTTTCTAAAATTACTAATTGTGATCGTATGTCATTACCTGTTAAAGAAAGTAACTAACGTTATTTTGTTTTATTAATTATAAATATATTATAAATTTATACTTTGAGTAATCAACATTTCACGAAGTTCTTCCTTTTTTTTAATTCTTTGATCAAGAGCAGTAATTAATTGTTGTCTTTTCTCATCATCTAATAAATCATCTACTTCTAAATCTGGCAAAGGAGGCCCCAAATTTAAATAACTGTGAAACATATATGGTTATAATCTTTTATTTACATACAATTAAGTAACATTACCTTCCAAAACAGTTTTCTTTTGATTCATAATTAATTTTATTGTCTTGCGGAAATCTAGTATCTTCTTCAATTACACATGGAATGCGATTTATAGATTGAATCTGAAATTTTACTCATATAAAGAACAAATGTCTTAGAATTAAAATTAAGTATTAAGACATACATCAATAACTTTTCTTCTTCCTGGAGTTAATCCTATATCCATACGTAATGGAGTTGTTCTTTTTACTTGAACACTTCCAGACATTTCACCGAATTGTAGAACAGGCTGTATGTTTATAAGAAAATATTTAAATATATATTAAGCAAAGTTAATTAAATTTTTATTTACCAAAAGCTCTGTATATTCAGACATAGGGTTTATACAAATTAGCATTCTGATTGAACCAGAACCTTCAAAGAAACTTTTGAACAGATGTGTAAGACGTGAAGTTCTGTAAGGTATTTTTTCAGCAATGTTTCTTAAATTGCTAGAAGATTGATTTTCATATAATATCTTAAGACATTGTTTCAAATTTGAAAGTGACTTATTTATTTCTCCTGCAAAACGTAAAGTAATAATTATGGAATAAATAAAACCAAACAAATTCTTACCAGCTTCTTGAAGTCTTTGTCCAGTAGTCTTTGCTTTCCCAGCTCGTTCACTACCGGCTAAATCTACTAGTGAAAGCTGACTCACAACTGTATACTTCTTATCTTGAATAATACTTACACCATCAGTATCCAAAGGTGCCTATTATAATAATGATATATAAATAAATATAAGCATAATATTTGTATTTTTTCACAATTTACATTTAATAAATTCATTTATTTATACATATTTTTAAAAGAACTCACTTGTACAACTCTTATAGTAAAAACTGTATGACTACGACTAGAGTCCATGTTCAAAAATGTTGGTGCTGTACGCTTTCTTAATTGACCTTTTCTTAACCATTCAAATGCTTCATCAGCGTTAAATACTTCTTGTTCATTTACTCCATGCACATACATATTGCCATTAGAATCTTCCCTTATTATTTTACTGTTTCTATTAAATAACCATATAAATTAAAATTAATTATTAATATAAAATTAATTATTTATTTACCGTCTTATTTCTCCATCAGATACATCTTCTAAAAGATCATAAACATAATTATGATATATTTCTACGTAGCTTATAAAGACTGAATATGCTACATCTTGTTCTATATCCATAATTTTAAAATTAAATGGTATACGATCTGTATCTCCATCTTTCCTAGTAATATTTAAATTTGTATATACATAAAGTAATTTATTTAGGATAAAAAGCAGATTTATAAATCCTTACTTTTTTGATGTTTTAGAAGGGTTTTTAACATTGTTTTTGAAATCCTCAGATTTAAAAAACAAGGCATCTTCCATACTATATACATCAAAACCATTAAGCTTATCAGGTTTAAAAGTAAACCTTCTAGCTTGGTAATTTTGAATAGAGTTGAATATTACATCAAAACATCTTCCAACAATACCACCATCTTCCTGATTACCAGTCATTGTATATGATTTGCCACTACCTGATATTCCATATGCAAATATTAAACTATTCTTCCCAGTTAAAAGTTGTTCAATTAATGGTAATCCTAGGTCTTGAAAGACCACTTCTTGGGTCTCATATTCAGTGAATATTTTCTTGTAACTGAATTGTCCTTCCCTAGATATTCCTCTTTCATCTGGCGGGCAATATATTTGTAATTCATTGTCAGATAGAACTTTGATACATGATGATTCTAAATTAGACTGAACAGGGCGAATTCGACAATAAACTTGAATAGGATCTTTCGCATCATCTTCTGCTCTATACTTTTTTTGAATTATTTTTGCTGGTTGGCTCCCACCTCTCTTCATTCTATTTCAATATACACAAACAAAAATAGTTGGAATTGTTTATACATTGTAAAAAAAAAAAAATTGTACCTAGCTATAAACTTTTATAATTTTATTCGTCTATTTTGTATTGGTAGGCTAAGAAAAATAAAATCATACATTTAAACGTTTAGTGGAAGTATTTAGGGTTAGGATTTATATTCATAAATATTGTAGAACATGCATACCTACAAAATTTAAAAAATATGCATGTACACAGACTCTTTTTTGTACAACTTTTATGAAAAAATCTCACAATTTTTTACTAGTCATCAAATATTTACAACCATGATTTTAACATCCAATTTTTTCTTAGCTGGAATACCACAAACAATGACATATATTTATAGGGTAACATAGACTTGATATTATAATACAGTTTAATTAACCAACAAAATTAATAATAAAAGTTGTAATAAAAAAAAATGCTACAATTGGTGAATGACCAAACTTACAACTAACATATTTGTTATTAATTGTCATCACCAAATAGGAAAAATGATTTAAAAATAGATTTTGTCATTCAATCAAGTATGTAATCAAATCATTATTAATTTAACAAAACAATATTATTTTTTCTATTAGTTACGTTTAGTGAATAATCTCAAATAAATCTTTAAAAATATCTTAATTATTCGGTTACAATTAAACAAGACAAAATTTTAATTATTTTAAATAATGTTGATAATACATGTAACTTTTATTCAATTACCTAGAATTATATAACTTGTTTTTTACTGAAATATGTAAAAAGAATAATAATTGATGTATAACAAAATGTTGAAATATTAATTAGAATTTTTCTTTAAGTAGTAGAGTATATGGTTAAATAAAAATTTAGGCCTAAGTAATCAATAATTATTGAAAAATAATAAAAAAGGTTTATTAATTGAAATATATTAGTATAGGATGAATATGTTATACTCATCTCTTTATCTAAGTATCTACATACTATTCCTATATAAGTAATTGTAAACATTAAGTAGAAGAGTCGGATATTTTAATATCATAATTGAACTTGTACAAATATTAAGATCAAATTATTTAATCGGTGTTTACTTACATTGATGTTGTTCATTAACTAATTGATATTTAAAAAAATAATAAATAATAAGTAAAAATACAACGAAACACTTAATTGTTATTATGTAGAAGTGAGAATGTGAGATATCACAAGAATTAAAAAACGAGTAACGACCGTTAAATCGCATTATTTAATATTTACATGGGCTGGGGTATTTCAGCCTACAGCGCCTAGCGGTTGGCTTTGTTCGCATTCCGAGCTGGTTCAGTGGTGACAACGAGTCGAAAACGAAAAACAAAAATATCAAAATATATTAAGTTCACCGCCAATGTGGTCAACCCGGCGAGGTGTTGATACACAATACGATAATCGGGTTGCTCTTTTGTATAATGATAAGAACATTGTTGATTAAAATTAAATTTTTTGGTACTTTATTTTATTTACAACTCAAAATCGAATACATTTGACTATTTTTCTTTATTTCATCCAGTCTTTTGAATAAGGTAACAATTAACAGCTGACTGCACAGTTGTATACTAGACGAAAAGTTTATTTTGACCGAAAAGGCCTCGTCGGAGACAATATTGATGTAAGTGTTTGATGCATTTTTTTTTATTCTTTGTGTACTTGCATGTTTCAATGCCAATGACAATCAAAAGAAACAGACGCTGTGCTTTTAATATACTTCACTATACCATAATGTTGGTAAATCGTTTTTATTGTCATAATGGTTTTTTACTTGAAGAAAATAAAACTTTGACCCATATTAGTGTGTTTTATTGTCTAAAAATTCCGAGTAGTCGTGAGCACCTAAGGCAATCTTAGCTTAAGCTGATAGTAGTGTATTTTAGAAAAAAAGACAATATATTTAAACTTACATGTTAGTGTTTATAGTTTATGAATTTATGTTTTAATTACCTTATTATTTTTTAAACATACTGTGTCTTGTATTAATATTCGTTTGTGTGTATCTCATTTTACGCTTTATTTGGATGCAATTGGAAAGAAAAATAATATAGTTTACATTAAATCAGTATAGTATCAATGTTTTTATACATAATATTCAATTTTGCTGGATAAAATAAAATCATTTTTATTATATATTCAGTTTCCATTTTATAATTAAGAAGATACATGATAACTGATAATTAATAACAATATGATTGATATTATGATCACAAAATATAGTTTTTTTTAGATTTTAATGATTATAACTATAACATTATTTATTATTTAATAAAATACAACAATAAATTTATGTTTTAATGTTTTTTTACATTATAAAACTATGATTATTTTTATGTTTATCTTTCGTTGTATTTAATAAGTTCTTATATGATTAAATATTTAACTTTCTACTATAAAATAACCATGGAGTATTAAACATTGATCTATTAAATGATTTATGAATTCATTACATATTTCTTTATTAATTAGGATTTGTTTTATTTTGATATTGTCCTAAAAGAGTAATTTAAATACTTAGATTCAAGATGAGTGATGATGACCGAGACATTGAGTTGGAGACTGCCGAAAAGCGTGCACATCATAATGCATTGGAACGCAAAAGACGTGACCATATTAAAGACAGCTTTACAAGTCTCAGAGATTCAGTTCCATCACTGCAAGGTGAAAAAGTTGCCAGCCGTGCACAGATTTTAAAAAAAGCTGCTGATTACATACAGTTTATGAGACGTAAAAATGTTTCCCACCAACAAGACATTGATGATCTCAAACGGCAGAATAATATTTTGGAATCTCAGATTAGGACGTTAGAGAGAGCTAAGGCTACTGGCAATTATGCTATGGAGTCTAGTGAATTAGCTTTAGATGTATCAGGATCAGAAAATTCTGATGTATCAGATGGAGAACTTCAAAAATCTAAAAGAAGGCTAAAAAAGCAAAAGTTTGGTTATTAAATTTAAATTTCTATTAATGTCTAATTTTGTATGTATTTATTATGTATGAAGTAGGTAAATATTTAAATAGTATCTTATTTGGTACAAATTTTAAAATTAACATTTTAAGGAAAATCATGAGGTTAGGTTTATTTGTTATATATTTTTTATATGAAACATCATCTTGAAAATATTTACAAATTATTGTGAACAAAATAAAAAATGATTATTTATAAATTTATTTGATTGCCACAATTAATTTTGTTAATTTACTTTAATTCATTTCAAAGAAAATTACTAAATAAGATGTACCTATGATTAATAAATTACCAATATGTACTGTATCTGATGTATTTTCTTTATTTTGAGTGTTGGATAAAATTAAATTAGAACTCTGAAATTGGATTTGGAATAAACAGTTTCAGTTATTATTCTTTACTTGAAATTTCATTATTTTCTATCAAATTCAATATAGGTTTTCAGATTAGGTATGAAATTATTTCATATAGAATTGTTACTATTTGCATTGCATGGTAAATCAACCAAATACTTTAAAAATATATTATTATAATGCTTAAAATTAAATTTATTAAATAAAGTTGGTATAATTTTTGTTTTTGATACATTAAAGTGTCTTTATAAATTGATAAGTAGTTAGTTTCGTTATTTTTTTTTTATGTATAAAAGGTCGTGCTATTCAAAATGATTGTTTTACATACTTATAATTACAAAATACTTGAATTGTAGATTAAACATTTTTTGTTATTTTTAATTATACCTAAGTTTTTATATAATGTATTATTAATAATATTATATTTTAGGCTGTTAGTTATTATTTATGTTCTAAAATTGTATCACATTTATGATTACATCAATATTCGATATTAACCTTGTACAAACCATAAATTTAAAATATGATTTTAAGTAGTTGGTTCATACTTTAATGTTTTGATGAGCAAATTACATTTGACAAATATTGTTATTATTATAAAATATAAAATAAATATTGTAATATATTTGATTTAGCATAATATAGTTTCATAAAATCATATATCATATATGTCATGTAGTAATACTAAGGTATTTAAAATAATTGTAATCACACGCTTGAGCAGTAAAATATTGATGATACATTTTATATATTTCTTGTTTTTTATTTTACTTTAAATTTTGATCACCCAATTATTATTTTTAATAAAATGATTTGCATATTAATTTTTGAAAATTGTTACATTAATAATTGTAAATTGCAATTACAGTTATTATCATCCCAACGTGCTCTACAGTGTTGTAAACATAAACTTATAAATAAAATTTATTGCTTATAGGTTTATCCACAGAGCAATATCTCTTTGCCCTTTGGGTCTATGGTCAGTATGGTCCATAGTAATTGTTAAGTATTCAAAAAATTTTTTGCATGATTAACTAACTAATTAGTTAATCGTGCTGTTTTGATTATTGATTAGTTTAAATATCTACTTTTGACATTAAATCTTTTCTATAAAAATACTTGGTTTTTGTACTAAAATTTATATGTTTTTAGTTTTCTATTAACACTTTTTTTTTTTTAAATTTTAATTATGTATGTATTGTGTTCTTTTGAATTTTTCATATTGATTGTTGTAATAATATTAATTGTTCTGAAACTTTAAAACTCGATAATTTAAAAAAAAAAAGGTGTGAGTGCAATGTAAGCTCGGGAACATGAATACGATGAATTTTTGGTTTCATTTGCCAAATAATAACAATTATTAAAATTATTTTATAAACAACTAACAAGTTCAAAGTGGAAAGTATTTAAATCGATCAATGCATCGAAATTCGAAATGATTGTTAGCGGAGTTATTATGATAAGAAAAAACAAAACATAATACATACTGTGTACCTATAGGTAGGTAACTGTTAAGTGTAATAAATATAATAATTTCTAATTATTCAACACATTTATTTAGTCAATTATAATGTTATAAGTAGTGGGGACTGGCGGCTCGTAGATAGGGGCGATGGGGCGATCGCCCCCCTTCTAAAATTATCATTTATTACAAATGTATAAGTTAATTATCAATTTTTAATTTTATATTAATTTTATATTGTAGTATAATATTATCAAAAATAAAAATTGTGTTTTCTATAATATTTACATTATTGAGTATTATGAAAACATTATCAGATAATGGGAGTTTAAAAATAAATCATTCAACACTGTAGCTTCTGAAAATCGATAACCGATAACGATTTACCAAGATTCACGAGCAGCGTATGCGATGTTAAAAGTCGCTCGTCATAACTATGATCGGAATACAAAAACTAAGAAGGGGGAACACAATAATAATACTGCCGCTGGGGCGATGATTTTAATCGCCCGATACACATTGATTCCGAACTTCCGTAAATTTATTATTTACTTTGTGCAGTCATAACTCGCAATTAATTATTTCAATTTGATATTTTATTCTAAAAATATATACTGGAATTATTAAGTTTTTAATCATAAATTCATCCACACATAAAAATTTTATTAAATTAATTTAATTAAATAACCACTATTAATATTATTTGTGTTTGATACCTACTTTCCATAAATAAGTAATTTTATATCGCCCTCCCACTTTCAAAGCATACGAGCCGCCACTGGTTATAAGCATTATTTATTTTTTTTATCTTTATTCATTTTATTCTTTAGTAAAAGATAGATAAAACTGTTGCAATTACTTTTGAAAGATAGGTATTTGTTCTTGACTTATACTTCAGTAGATCGTCTTCTGTCATCTAACAGTTGATACACTGATACGAATACTGAAGAGATTCGTATTTCAGTGTTAGCATGCCTTGTGCCTTTACACTTTAAGAGTACCTATGACATTGTCAATTGATGCTGTTATAACTTATACTATTACATACCGGCTCAGCGGCTAGCGAAAAACATATTCTTAATTTTGAGGTTTTGTAGACTGTAATCAACAATTTGAAACACCCACTTGCTGTCACTATAAAATGATTTGTTAAAAAAAATCCATAATATTTTAAAATTTGTAATATGTCTAGAAAATATTGATCTATTTGAGAAAAATTACTACTTAATTTCCTTTTTTGATGAAAACAAGAAAAAAAATCACTTTTTAAAAATTAATATAATATGGGTACTTACACATTTTAAGACCAATTTTTAAAATGAAATACCAACAGGCTACGATTGTTTTTTGATTGGTAATATATAGATATAAAAAATTTAAAACAGTAATATTTAGATATTAGATATACGTAGAATTTCTACATTCTAGAGTTGAGGGCGTTGTTCACGAAACATTTGTTCAGGTTTGGGGTTTCTATACTCGGGTGTTATTATCGGCAATTTAAAATTTTTACTTATTGTAATTTTAAACAATAATTATCATGATGATAATTACAAATAAACCTTTTTAGTTATTTTAAGTATTGGTGATCATTGAAATGTTGGTGATCCTCAAGAGATTGAGACTCCCAGTTTGAAAATCGCTGGCTTATCCTTAATGTCAAACATTCTCCTGTTGATAAGGAGAAGTATTTTATACCTAATTAATTCTACCCATATACGTCGTATAATGTACCTATATATTGTTACATTGATTATAAAATTATTCTTGTCAATAATTATTTTGTATTAAACAAACAGTTACAAAACCGAAAAATATATATGAAATAATATAATTTCAGTTGTCAAATTTGGAAAAATTAAATAATGGGTTATTTCTGGATTTTGGGTGCTGGATTACTTATGGGTTTTTTTTAGGGTGTTACGGCTTTACGAGTTACATTTAATTCGGATGTAAAGCACTGTTCACAATATGATTATGAATTTTAATTTTAATTTACAAATGTTTTAATATAAATTTATAATATAATAACATTTAATGTACCTATCTATCAAATAATTTAATTAGTTACTTATTCCCTTTACGCGTTATTACTTATTTGACGCTATTCAAATTCAACCCTTTTATAGTTTTATATTTTGCTTTAATTAGAAAGAAAAACATTTTTAATTAGGAATCATTAAATTGTTGGATCACTATGTTAGATATTTATGTAGTCTCCTTCATAGTTCCACTCAACTCTGTAATACATGTATATCTATGTATAGGAGAGAATACATCATAAATAGCCTGAATGAATAATTATTTTGAAGCCTGTAAAATTCACTATTTAGTAATAATATATAGTTACCAATCTACTATTAAATCTAAACTATAGCATACTTAAAAATTCAATAATATATTATATAATTATCATTGATTAATAAGTATTAAAAAAAAAAAAAAAAAAAAAAAAATACACGGTTAATAGTTTGAATATTTATTATCATTTTTTTATTTTATTAAGTACATACAATAATACATAAATACCTAATAAATACTTTAAATATAATGATACGATTTTTAATATTTATCAGTATCAATATTATAGGTAATTAAGTTATTTCAAAGAACAAAAACAATTTAAATTCCATTATTGATATGTTTATGAGGGACTTGATATGTATTAAGTTGCGCATGGTTATTGGCGAATTCACAGTAAATTAGTGTTGTATAATACTTTATATAATAATATGCGTCTATTAGACTTGTATATAATATTACATTTTACTAAAACTATAATAGCTGAAGCAATTACAAGTAAAAAGATAATACACTGTATCATGAAATCTTATGCACATATATAATATAGGTATTAGGTACCCATGTATACATAATGATAAATAAATATATTAATATCTCTACATTATAGTAATATAAAATAAGATTATTATAAACTAATGTCGATGCACTTAGGTTAATTTTACTCATAACAGTAGGCAGCATAATCTTATTAGCTATAATATAATATATAATATACTTAATGTACCTATCTATCATTGTTTAATATAGAAATTATTTTATTTTAAAACAATAATAAATATCTATAGCCATATAAATTCGCCTCTAACCATGGTAGAATATGTATAGGTTTAACAAACAATATATATGCATAATAATATATATTGTATAATGTATAGTAATAATGCTTTGGCGTATATATCACAATATTAAAAATAAT